GCCGCCGCGCGCGGCACGGCGCCGGCCTGGCGGCCGGACGCGGCGTCCCGCCTGGCCCTGCCGCGCGGCGCGGCGCGAGACGCGACGCTCTTCTGGCTCGCCGCCTCAAGCGCAGCGCCTGCGGCGCCGCCGCAGCCCGCCCACGCCCCCGCTGGAAGCGGCGCCTCGGAGGTTGACGCAGTTCCCAAAGCAGCCGCGGCGGGGCCTGTGGTCGCGCGAGCTGCGGCATGGGCGGGTGACGTCTGCTCAACTTCCGAGCTGCTCCCGAGCTTGCTAGTGCCCTGGCAGCCGCGCAACGTGGCCGGCGCGGGGCCCCGCCTCCGGTCGCTGGACCTGTCGGGCTGCGGCGCCGCGGTGACAGACTCCGGCGTGGCTGCACTGGCGGCGGGGGCGCCGCAGCTGCGCGCGCTGGCGCTGCGCGGTGCGGAGCGCGTGGGCGGCGACGCGCTGCGGGCGCTGGCGGACGGGTGCCCGCTGCTGCGGCGGCTGGCGGTGACGGGGTCGGCTGCGCTCGGGGACAGCGGGGCGGCGCACGTCGGGCGCATGAGGTGAGCTCTCGTGGGAACCCGAGGCGTGCGGTACGGGCGGGGCCCGCCCTCGCGCCCCTGCCAGCGCGCGCTCGTGTGTCCACTGTGAGCGCAGCTGCTGGACCGGGGGCGGTGCTTGAGCTGCAGCGGGCGCGCGTGGCGCCTCTCCAGCTCTCGTTTGCAAGTCCGTCAATCCAAGCCCCTTAGCCCAACTACCCCAGACTCAAACCCCTTCAGCCACCGACCCATCGGCTGCGTTCCTCGCCTGCGCTCCCCAGAAGTCTGACGTCCCTCGACCTCAGCTCCTGCCCCAATCTCGGCGCGCAAGGGCTGCTGGCCGCGGTGACGCAAGCGGCGCGCGCCGTCACGGACACACCTGTTGGCGCTAGCTATGACGGAGACGCCACCGGCGCGCGCGTCGCGGCGGCGGCCTCCGGCCTTCTGCAGCACCTCAGATGGCAGCAGCAGCTGCTGGAGTGGCTGCGGCGGCATGGTGGGGGGGAGGAGCAGCAAGGCGGCAAGCATGGAGTGCAGCACCGGCAGCAGGGAGAGCAGCAGGGGCAGCAGGCAGAGCAGCAGTGGCCACAGGCATCCACCGTGGAACGACTGGCCCTCGAAACATGGCAGGGGCGGGACACCACTGCCAGCGGCGCGGCGCCGGCGGGGGCCCTCTGTCAAGCTGCAGCCAGCCTTCAGGCGGCCCAGTCCGGCGTCCTCGCCGCCGCCCAGTCGCTGCAAGCACCCGCGAGCGACTTGGCGCCGGCGGAGGCGCCACGGGGCGCGGAGGAGGCGCGTGGGCGCGACCGGCGGCGCGCGCCGCTCGTCCTGCAGCGGGTGGATTTCCGGGGCTGCGGCGCCGGGCCCGCAGCCACGGCTCCGGGGTCGCCGCCTTGGGAGCTCGGGTTGTGCGCGCTGCTGGCAGCGTGCCCAGACCTCACGAGCGTATGCTGCGGCGGCGCCGGCCCCTTCCTGGCGCCGCCGGGTGCCGCAGCGGCAGCCGGGCGCGGGGCAGTGGGCGCGGCGCGGGGCGCGGCGCAGCAGCCGCGCCGGGGAGCAGCGGCAGGGGCGGCGGCGGCGGCGGGGCCGGCGGCGGGGGCGGCTGCGCTGCTGGCGGCGCAGCTGCTGGCGCCGGGGCTGAGAGGGGGCGATCTGCTGCGCGACGCGGAGGCGGCGGCCGCAGATCTGGATTGGGCGGAGCGTTTGTGCGGCAGTAATAGGGGCAGTACACCGCTGGGAAATGCAGGGCAGACTGTGACACCTAGGTGAGACAAGTCTCTTGTTTGATGCTTGATCAATGACGCATTATCTCCTTAGCATTGTGTGCAATGTTACTATCATAGGCTTGGGCGGATTCATGAATACGGTTTTTTTTGTCATGAAGGGTCACGTGCCCGGATAGCTGGCCTGTTGCAAAGGCTGAGATGTTGTTACAACAGATGCTGCCAGGCCTGAAGTTAGAGCAGCATGGCTGCGAACAGCACAAAAGCCTGGTCATCATGGTGCGCAGAAGCCTTGGAGCAGTGGACCGCAATGTCCTCTTGCGAATGCTGCAACGCCCGATGGTGCTCGGGCCATTTGGGGCGTGGCATCAGCGCTTTTGCCCTCCATGCTCGTCGGAGCGATGCTGCATGCAGCGCGTGGTTGCAGGCCGTATGCATTTTCCAAGGCGCAGCAGCAAGGTGTAAGGGAGTGCGAGGGTGAGGAGGATGCGCGACGCTTCAGCAACCTCCTGCTGAGGTTCTGCTGAGTGCGGACACGGCAGCATAGCGAGGAGATTCCGGGGTTGCAAGGTCCAATCACAACCCCATCAGCTTGGCTTCTGACCTGCAGGTATGACTTCGCCGAGGTCGCAAGCAGCCGCCAAGCTCAAACGCAGGGCAGGAGGGCATGGGGCGCGAGATGCGCTCGGCAGACCATGCCGGCGCGCCGTCCGACGGCGCGCCGGCGCCCAGGCTCTATGCATGCGTGTTGGCACCGAGCGCGGACAGCCGCCAAGCTCGTGTGCCGTACCGTACGCTGCGCTGTGCTTTGCACCCTTGTTCGCGAACCTGCCTGCACACGCCCGCTCGTACGCCTTTGTGCGTAGCGCAGACCAGCGAACACTTGTTGCCTTGGCTCACGCATGCTTTGAACGGCGAACAGTGGCCACTTGAGCCCCAGTCACACACCGCTGATGCTACAAAGCTACATCCCGTGAGCCTGGATGGCTCCAAGAGCGGGGGACCGCGGGATCTTGTAGCAATCCTTATCCTTATCCACATGACCAGGCAATCTCCCATCAGCGTCCACAACAGCACTGCAACAGTCCTCACAGCAATCCACCTCAATCATGGGCAGTTGACTGTGGCTTGCAACCGGCATAGCTTTTGCTGCCGCACGCGCCGCTGCCTGCCATGTGGGCGGACCGCCATTTTCTACCCTCCTGCGTGGCCACGGAGTAACACAAAAAAATGGTCAAGCGATTGCTGATGTGATTGCTTGGTTACTTGTATATACACAGAGGTTATCCTGGTGAAACACAAAACACATTACAAACAGGGGGTAGCAGGCCGGAAGGCCCAAAAGGTCGAGGCGAAACCAGAAGCGAAGCAGCCTCAAGGCAGAGACAGCAGCGCGGCCACCCAGCGGCAGCGCGCCAAGGCGGCGTCAGCAGGTCGCCCTGCCCCCACCACCCCCACAGGGATAGCAGCGCTCCCGCGCAACGCGGCGTGGCCGCAGGCGCGCGGTGCAGGGCGCACAGGCGTGCAGAGCGCGCAGGCGCACACCCTGCGGAGCGTGAAGGCCCTGGGCAAGCCACGCGAGCTGGCGCCTTGGCTGAGCTGCGTCGGCCGGTGGCGGCGGCGAGGTGGGCGTGGGCACATCAGGCGACGGCAGCAGCGGCGGCGCCGCGGCCGCCTGTCCGCCGGCGATGGCGCGGCCAGAAGTGGCGGCGCGGAGGATGGTGGGGGCAGCGGCGGTGGAGGAGGAGGCCCGGGGGGATGCGGCAGCATCTGCCCCGGGCAGCTCGGGCGGGGGGCGGTCCGCGGGGGACGGTCCACTCGAGCGGGCGAGGCAGCAACGGCGGCACCGAGGACCAGGGCGGCTTGGCGGCGGTGGCCGCGGGGCTCACAGGGGAGCGGCACCTTTGGATGGCGGCGACGGCGGCGACGGACGCGCCGGGCTGTGTGCGACGCTGGGCTCGGTGTCGCGCCCAATGCATGGCATCTCGGCCTGGCTAGGGCAGATGTGGGCGGCCGTGGCGCGGCCGCAGACAGTGATGGCGCGGCGGCGGCGGCGGTGGCGGCACCAACCCCACCCCGGCCGGCCAGGCCGCTACGCACATGAGGAACAATGGTGGCTTGCTGCTGCGCGGGTGCAACACGCGGCCCCGCCAGAGAGATGGCGGAGCCCATTTACTTGCACATCAAGGCGGGGAGCCGAGAGGGACCAGGAGTCCACCTGCCCATGCCACCAAGGCAGCCTGATTGCCGTATGCACAGTGCCGTGATAGGCGTGCGCTCAACATCAACGCTTGCATGGCACCCTCCAAGTTGGCTGCGGCATTTTTGCGGAAGCCAGCCGCGCGGGTGCCTTGCAACATACCATACACAAAAGCCAGAGTGAGGAATGGGCGGCCGAGGAAAAGCGAAGCAGTGAGCCGCAACACTCTGGCCCTGTGCCTTGGCATCGGCTCATCCCAACACATCACAGGGGCTGGCGGGGGAAGGACGCAACTACCCTTACGTGCTTGTATGCGCCCGTCCCGCTCTACTTGCCCCTGCTGGATGACATGCGGTCATCCTCCAGCCGCGCCACGCGGTCCAGCAGCTGTGAGTGGATCAATGCGTCGAACTTGGCATCGAGCTTGGCCTCGAGCCTGGCGTCGTTGGACGCGAGCTTCTCGATTTTGTTGTCGAGCTTATCGAATCTGTCGCGCGTGTCGGCGATGAAGTCCTTCCCGAAGTAGGCAACGGTCGCCCCGAGCACGCCCAGCAGCAGCTGGCCAGCCACGTTCCACATGTCCGGCCCCCGGAGCTGGGTGCAAGCGGTGGGTAGGGCCGGATCGAGACGGGTGAACAGGGGTCCAGGCACGTGTGGCAGCAGTTCCGACCAATCAAACAGCGCTGGCAACGCCCCGGCGCAGGCCGGAAGCGCCCTCGGCTCACCCAGCCGCCTGCCCCCCGCCCCCCAAAGCCCGACCCACACCAAGCAGGGGTGCAGCACCTGCGCAGGGCAGCCCTTGTGGATGGTGCCCCCAACCTTCTTGTTGTTTTGCTCTGTCCCTGGTGCTGCGGCAACCCCCCCAATCTGGCGGCGCAGCGCGTGGCGCTGCGCAGGAACCCGCAGCATCGAGAGCATGGCCAAGGTGGCTGCTGCCACGTTGCGATGAAGCCTCTCTGGCTGATTCAGAAGTCAAAACGCAGATGGAGCACAACTGCTCGGACAATCAGCGCAGCGAGAACTTGCACACGCGTGGTCTCATTTAGGGTCTCTGAGCGTCCTCAACGTACATTGATTCATGCGAAGATTCAGCGAGTCTCAAACAACGTCACGAAGTCGCGCCGAGGTTTGCCCACAGGTGCAGCGCCTTGGCCGGCAACTGCTACGCAGTCAGCAGGTTGCGGACACGTCGTGCATCCTCCTCATCCTTGCACTCGCTTACACCTTGCTGCTGTGCCTTGGAATCAGCATACGGCCTGAAACCACGTGCTGCGTGCAACAAGGCTCAAAGCTGAGCTCGTAGGGCAACACCGGTCACGCCCACACCTCAACTGGGTGCGGCGTTGCAGCGGTTGCAGGAGTTTAGCTTGGTGCAATGCTCCAATAATCTACCGCACCATGAGGATGACAGTCTCCCGCTGTTTGCAGCCATGCTGCTCTTACATTGAGGCTGGCAGCATCACAGCCCGTGCAACAGGCCAGCTATCCGGCCACCTGACTGGAAAAATCAAGGAGTTTTCACGAGTCCTCCCAAAACTAAAAAAGAAACATTCTACACAATGCTATGGAAATAACATGTCATAGAGCAAACGTCAACGCAGAGGCTTGTCTCACCCAGGTGTCACAGCCTGCCCTGCAGTCCCCAGGTGTGTACTGCCCCAATCACTGCCGCACAAACGCTCCGCCAAATCCAGATCTGCGGACGCCGCCTCTGCGTCGCGCCGCAAGTCACCCCCGCTCATCCCCGCCGCCAGCAGCGCAGCCGCCGCCGCCGCCGCCCCCGCCGCTGCTGCCGGCGCGGATGCTGCGCAGCGCCCCGCGCCGCGCACGGCGCGAACCAGGCTGCCGCGGCGGCGCCCGGCGGCGCCTGGAAGGGGCCGGCGCCGCCGCAGCATACGCTCGTGAGATCTAGG